ACAAACTATTAAATGCTCGCTGAAATGTGTAACCCAGGCCAGGAAAATTGTCATGAAGTCCAAGAGGATAGCAAGCAGCAAGTGAATGGAGTCAGAGAAGCTATTAGATGTATGAAAACTTAGTTCATAAAGCAGAAGTCCTGCCCAAATAAGAACAAAAAGGAACTTTGGCAAAAGAAAAACAAGGAACCACTTGTCTCCAGTTGTGTCTGACCACCCAATTAGGTCCAGCAGGATGGGTGTGTTCTCAGCCATGTAAATTAAAGAATCTCACCTCATGATGTCATCTTGCAATTCCTGCCCTCTGGAATGTTTTCTCCCCAGAGATTTGGGTGGCTCCCACTCTTATGTGGTTCAGGAAACTCTGGAAGACCTGGTGGCTCTCCCAAGCCTGGACAGAGTGATTGTGCCTTTTTTTTTTTTGGTCTTGTTATCTTTTGTTCTAGATGATCTGTGTTGTTTCGTTTTGGTATTTTGCTCTTCTGGCCAGTTATATTTTGATATGTTACTTTTTGGTTGTAAGCAGCCCAGAATCTTTGGGAATTGGGTGGCAAATAAAATAGGAAAAAATGCTAAAAGTCAATAAAATATGCCCAACAAACCATTTTGAAGAACTTAGAGTGAAGAATATTAAGACAAACAACAAAAATATTTAAATATATTCCAAAAAGGTAACTAACCAGAGAAGCTGTTAGGCTATTGAATAACAGTAGCATTTAAGAAGTGGCTGGGGGGGGGGGGAATAATACAGAGACTGTATGAATTCTTCATTTCTGTTTTCACTGCTGAAGATGCAGGCCAGATACCCATATCTGAACTGCATTCTTCAGTAGAGGAATAAATAAACTAGGCAAGGTAACAAGAAATGAAGTTATAAGCGTAAGTGACAAATTAGAAACAAATAAATCCTTGATTCCAGATGGTATCAATCAGAAGGCTGTTTAAAAATTAAAATTTGAAAATGAAAGAAATAAGCAGTTCCTCTTTAAGAATTGCATTTGTTCCTAAAGACAGGACAAAGGCCAACAGGACCCCAATTTTCAAAAGAGATTGAAGAGAAATACAGGAAACCATAGTCAGGTTAGCTTAACATTCATTCCAGGTAAAATGGTAGAAAGCATTACTGAAGAAAAAATAATTGAATTCATAGTTTCTTTTCAGCACCTTATGTTATTCTAACATGGCTTTTGCAAGAGTAAATCTTATCTTAGTAAGTACAGGTATCTAGATACATCTTGGCACCTGAATAACTTTTCTAAGGCCTTCATTGTTACTCTACCAAGTGCTTGTTTGCTGCATATTTCTTGACTGCTGATTCCTTTACTTCTGATAATCAATATTAAAAGGCAGAAGCTATCCACCACTTCAATATGTTCATTGTCAGTTCTAAGACTGGTTGGTGTACCTGTTGTCATTAGTTTGGTCTTTAAATATAATTGGAGTCCCATTTTTTACTGTGCTCCTTGACTCCTTGACTTGCTAGAGTTTCCAGGCTATTTGCATTTTCAGCTATCAGAGTAGCATCATCAGCATTGCACAGGTTATTGATGTTTCTTCCTCCAATTTTAAAACCATACTCATCTTCTTCCAATATAGGTTGAATAAAAAAGGGGAGAGTACATAGCCTTGACTCACTCTTTTGCTAAGCTGGAGCCAGTCTGTTTCACCGTATTTTGTCTGGACTATGGCTTCCTGACCTATGTATAGGTTTTGCACGAGGACAGTGAGATGTTCTGAGATTCCTATTTTTCTGAGCACATTCCACAGCTTGACATGATCAACATAATTAAAAGTCTTATATAATCAAGGAAGCATATACTGACTTCTTTTTGTTATTTGGCTTTCTCAGTTATCCAGCATGCATCAGCAATAATGTCTCTTGTTCCTTGGCCTTTTCTAAAGCCAGCTTGAATATCTGGCATCTCCCTTTCTATTGAGGGCTCTGATCTGTGTTGGATGATCCTAAACATTATTTTGCTAGCATGTGTAAGGATATTGTGCAATATTTGCATACTATGTTGTCTTCTCTCTCTGGTATTGGTATGTAGACTGATATCGTCTAATCTCTTGTTCATTGTGTCGTTCTCCAGATTTGCTGGCATAGTTTGGTTAGAACCTTTACTCACTCTGCTTTGTTACTTGTAGATATTCAATTAATTCCTGTAGTCTTCTGTCTTGGTAATGACCAGAGTACTAACTTTATCTTCTAGTACTAGAGGTTCTTGTACGTATGGAATATCTTCTAAGGTATATTGGATATTAATACCTCCACTGTACAGAATTTCAGTATACTCCTTCCATTTTTGTTTGACCTTCTTTGAATCAGTTACTGTATGTCCACTGGCGTCCTTTAGCATATTAATTCAATAGTTTGATTAAAATGTAAAAAAGACAGGTTTCATGCTTGAAATCATTAAGAAAGGAATTGAAAATAAAACAGCCAATATAGTGATGCCCTTAAATATGCTGAAACCTCACTTGGAGTATTGCAGAAAGACTGGAGCACTGAAAAGTGGAAAATGAGGAAAACCAGACCAAAATTATTAGTAGGTTAAAGCAGCTCCCTTATGCGGAAAGGCTAATATCTGGAGATCTGAGCTTGGAGCAATTGCAGGTTAGGAGAAATGACTGACGTATATAAAATAAGGCATGGTATGGAAAATGTGAGGAGATATTTTTTATCTTTTTCCCACAAGGAAAATGCTGTGCCATCCACTGAAATAAAATGTGGGGAGATTCAAGAAAGTATTTACACAACGCATGGTTGAACTGTGGTGCTCATTGCCATTTTGCGTGATGATGTTCCCCATTTCAGATGGTATTAACAGAGTTGGACACATTTATGGAAAATCAGGCTATCTTGTTGGCTGTGGGCTACCTCCAGTATCCCAGATGATACGTCTTTAATCATAGCTGCTTGGGAACCACAGTGAAAGAGAATTCCTGCCTCTTGTCTTCATCCAGTTGGTTGCAGCACAACCGAAAATGCTGGATTAAATTGCCCTTGGTGTAGCCCAGCAGGGCTCTTCTTATGATCTAATGTTGTTGGATGAGTTAGCTTTGCTCTTTGTTGGTAAGAAAGAGGTTTCCTATGAAGCTGGAAGTATTTGCCTATATGGCAAGTTAGGCCAAAGGTATATTTATTTGTGTGTGTATGTTATTCAGTATAAACATGTTATTTAGCACCAATAATGTTAATTAAAAATAAATAAATGCTAAAGGGAATGCTCATAGGTCTATTAAATCCAATTACGATTTTCTGACTTTTTTTTTGCTTGAAAGGTGGAAAGATATTGTGTGGTGATACATGTTGTACTATAGTTCACATAGTGTTTTCCTACTATCACAAGTACATTCCCTATAATATATTCCAGGAATCCAAAATCTGACCTGGGCATATGGAAGCAATACTTTTATAATACTATAATTTTCTCCTCTTGGTTTTTGGGCAAACCATCTGCTCAGGTTATTGCCTGTGAGGACAAATGTTAATATTGGCTACAGATATGGGCTCGGACCCAAGAATTGAAATTCTGCCTCAGCTAGAGACTCCCTGGGTGATCTTGATCTGTTTTCCTTCTTTTTTATCATTATTAATAGCTTGCCTCATAGGGATGTTATGAGAATGACTGATCTGAGGAAAGAAAACTATTCTCTGAAAGTGCTCTAAAATGGTGATCTAAGAATAATGAATGGAGTATGGAATTTTGTCCTATAATAGAACATTTTTTCAGATTTCCAGTATTCAGTTCTCTCTCTCCCCCTGCCCTCCCCACCCCTAAATGCCCTCCAGCTTTGGGCAAGCAACCTGTAGAGATGTTCTGATATTACAGGAATTTATCCAGTTTTCTTAATAAGCTTTCTTTGAAATTAGTAGAGCTTTCTTAAGAAAGCTTCCCGGTCTATTATGCTCTAAAATTGACAAATGACTCGATCTCTTTCAAATCAGTTAATGTAGTGAGATTACTCTAAATTAATAAAATGTAATTTTGTAAGGACTTTATATTCATTTCTCAGTATTTACTGTGAGGTTTTATTTGTTTTGTTGTCCAATGATTATAATTAGCTGGAATCTAGTTCTTAAACTTTAGATGGGTAGTAAATAGAATTTTGGATTTATAGCATTCCAGAAGTTCAAGGTCCACTTGACAAATTGCTCTTCTATTAAAAAAAGAAAAGAAATATCCTTACATACAGAAATGCAGCATGTTTCCTCCATGACATGATTGTTTTCTGTGCTTGGGAATCCTTTGTGTAGAATAGCATTCAGTCATACAACCCCACCACCACTGTTTGTCATGGTACAGCCCAGGAACATGTTCTCAGTTTATTATGGGAACTGTACTGGGTTTGAGTGGGCTTTTGATCAGAAAGATCTTCCCTATTACTGTATAAATTTTGGTTCATGCTGTTGGGCAGTGATAGGAAGGACTGCATTTGCAATATACACATAGATAGAATGTACTGACTCTTACTTGTACCAGTAAACATAAGTACAGCCAACTTATGGATGTCTTCATGTAGTCATTAGGAGTTGAGCTTGATGTGAGGGAGATTTTATATATAAATAACCACAAGATTTCCTGATTGGATTTCTCTGTTCAGTCTGAGGAACAAGCAGGGATTGAATGCAAGCAAAAGTCAGCATCTGGTCTTTCCCTCTTTGTGTATTTCTCAATCTGTTTCTGAGCATTAGGGCTTTGTTCAGATACTATTTCCCACCATTCTCTCTCATTCTATCATGTCACAAGTGCTCCTGTGCCAAAGGAAATTCTGTATGAATAAACCATTTTTTAAAAATATTGTTTCAGTTTATAACAAACTTACCCACAATGGGGCTCTCCAGATGTGTTGATCTACTACTCCCATCATTCCTAGCCAGGATATCTAATAGCTATGCTGATTAGCATGATAGGTATTTATAGAAGTGAATAAGTTTGTGATTGGATGTGTTATTATGGTTAATTCCAAGTGAACCCGTATGTGTTCTCTTTTTATAGATCATAATTAAAAAGTGGTCAATTCCTTGTCCTCTGCCACTAAACTTTGCTACAGGATTCTCCCAGGTATTTAATCTACTTTAAATCTGAAATTGTTCCTGTATTTTCTGCAGGCCTTTTATTTCAGGAGTACCAACTGTTATATCATTTGACAGTAAAATGATTAATTGAATGATAATTTGTAGGACTTGAAATAGCACAGATGGTTTGCTGTACTAGAGGTGTATAGTGGGGCAAAAAAGTATTTAGTCAGCCACCAATTGTGCAAGTTCTCCCACTTAAAAAGATGAGAGAGGCCTGTA